TGGTTTTTACATGTCGGAGGAGTTGGATGTAGGTGATTAGTATGTTATGCTGTACTGTTGTTTGTCTTGGTTTTTACATGTCGGAGGAGTTGGATGTAGGTGATTAGTATGTTATGCTGTACTGTTGTTTGTCTTAGTTTTTACATGTCGGAGGAGTTGGATGTAGGTGATTAGTATGTTATGCTGTACTGTTGTTTGTCTTGGTTTTTACATGTCGGAGGAGTTGGATGTAGGTGATTAGTATGTTATGCTGTACTGTTGTTTGTCTTGGTTTTTACATGTCGGAGGAGTTGGATGTAAGTGATTAGTATGTTATGCTGTACTGTTGTTTGTCTTGGTTTTTACATGTCGGAGGAGTTGGATGTAGGTGATTAGTATGTTATGCTGTACTGTTGTTTGTCTTGGTTTTTACATGTCGGAGGAGTTGGATGTAGGTGTTTAGTATGTTATGCTGTACTGTTGTTTGTCTTGGTTTTTACATGTCGGAGGAGTTGGATGTAGGTGATTAGTATGTTATGCTGTACTGTTGTTTGTCTTGGTTTTTACATGTCAGAGGAGTTGGATGTAGGTGATTAGTATGTCATGCTGTACTGTTGTTTGTCTTGGTTTTTACATGTCGGAGGAGTTGGATGTAGGTGATTAGTATGTTATGCTGTACTGTTGTTTGTCTTGGTTTGAGGATTTGGATGTAGGTGATTAGTATGTTATGCTGTACTGTTGTTTGTCTTGGTTTTAACATGTCGGAGGAGTTGGATGTAGGTGATTAGTATGTAATGTTGTACTGTTGTTTGTCTTGGTTTTTACATGTCAGAGGAGTTGGATGTAGGTGATTAGTATGTTATGCTGTACTGTTGTTGTCTTGGTTTTTACATGTCGGAGGAGTTGGATGTAGGTGATTAGTATGTTATGCTGTACTGTTGTTGTCTTGGTTTTTACATGTCGGAGGAGTTGGATGTAGGTGATTAGTATGTTATGCTGTACTGTTGTTTGTCTTGGTTTTTACATGTCGGAGGAGTTGGATGTAGGTGATTAGTATGTTATGCTGTACTGTTGTTTGTCTTGGTTTTTACATGTCGGAGGAGTTGGATGTAGGTGATTAGTATGTTATGCTGTACTGTTGTTTGTCTTGGTTTTTACATGTCGGAGGAGTTGGATGTAGGTGATTAGTATGTTATGCTGTACTGTTGTTTGTCTTGGTTTTTACATGTCGGAGGAGTTGGATGTAGGTGATTAGTATGTTATGCTGTACTGTTGTTTGTCTTGGTTTTTACATGTCGGAGGAGTTGGATGTAGGTGATTAGTATGTTATGATGTACTGTTGTTTGTCTTGGTTTTTACATGTCGGAGGAGTTGGATGTAAGTGATTAGTATGTTATGCTGTACTGTTGTTTGTCTTGGTTTTTACATGTCGGAGGAGTTGGATGTAGGTGATTAGTATGTTACGCTGTACTGTTGTTTGTCTTGGTTTTTACATGTCGGAGGAGTTGGATGTAGGTGATTAGTATGTTATGCTGTACTTTTGTTTGCCTTGGTTTTTACATGTCTGAGGAGTTGGATGTAGGTGATTAGTATGTCATGCTGTACTTTTGTTTGCCTTGGTTTTTACATGTCTGAGGAGTTGGATTAAGTGATTAGTATGTAATGTTGTACTGTTGTTTGTCTTGGTTTTTACATGTCTGAGGAGTTGGATGTAGGTGATTAGTAGGTTATGCTGTACTGTTGTTTGTCTTGGTTTTTACATGTCTGAGGAGTTTGATGTAGGTGATTAGTAGGTTTTGCTGTTCTGTTGTTTGTCTTGGTTTTTATATGTCGGAGGAGTTGGATGTAGGTGATTAGTAGGTTATGCTGTACTGTTGTTTGTCTTGGTTTTTATATGTCGGAGGAGTAAGATGTAGGTGATTAGTAGGTTATGCTGTACTGTTGTTTGTCTTTGTTTTTAAATGTCGGAGGAGTATGATGTAGGTGATTAGTATGTAATGCTGTACTGTTGTTTGTCTTGGTTTTTACATGTCGGAGGAGTTTGTTTGTCTTGGTTTTCACATGTCGGAAGAGTTGGATGTAGGTGATTAGTATGTTATGCTGTACTGTTGTTTGTCTTGGTTTTTACATGTCGGAGGAGTTGGATGTAAGTGATTAGTATGTTATGCTGTACTGTTGTTTGTCTTGGTTTTTACATGTCAGAGGAGTTGGATGTAGGTGATTAGTATATTATGCTGTACTGTTGTTTGTCTTGGTTTTTACATGTCGGAGGAGTTGGATGTAGGTGATTAGTATGTTATGCTGTACTGTTGTTTGTCTTTGTTTTTACATGTAGGAGGAGTTGGATGTAGGTGATTAGTATGTTATGCTGTACTGTTGTTTGTCTTGGTTTTTACATGTCGGAGGAGTTGGATGTAGGTGATTAGTATGTTATGCTGTACTGTTGTTTGTCTTGGTTTTTACATGTCGGAGGAGTTGGATGTAGGTGATTAGTATGTCATGCTGTACTGTTGTTTGCCTTGGTTTTTACATGTCTGAGGAGTTGGATGTAAGTGATTAGTATGTAATGTTGTAAGGTTGTTTGTCTAGGTTTTTACATGTCGGAGGAGTTGGATGTAGGTGATTAGTATGTTATGCTGTACTTTTGTTTGCCTTGGTTTTTACATGTCTGAGGAGTTGGATGTAGGTGATTAGTATGTCATGCTGTACTTTTGTTTGCCTTGGTTTTTACATGTCTGAGGAGTTGGATTAAGTGATTAGTATGTAATGTTGTACTGTTGTTTGTCTTGGTTTTTACATGTCTGAGGAGTTGGATGTAGGTGATTAGTAGGTTATGCTGTACTGTTGTTTGTCTTGGTTTTTACATGTCTGAGGAGTTTGATGTAGGTGATTAGTAGGTTATGCTGTACTGTTGTTTGTCTTGGTTTTTATATGTCGGAGGAGTTTGATGTAGGTGATTAGTAGGTTATGCTGTACTGTTGTTTGTCTTGGTTTTTATATGTCGGAGGAGTAAGATGTAGGTGATTAGTAGGTTATGCTGTACTGTTGTTTGTCTTTGTTTTTAAATGTCGGAGGAGTATGATGTAGGTGATTAGTATGTAATGCTGTACTGTTGTTTGTCTTGGTTTTTACATGTCGGAGGAGTTTGTTTGTCTTGGTTTTCACATGTCGGAAGAGTTGGATGCAGGTGATTAGTATGTTATGCTGTACTGTTGTTTGTCTTGGTTTTTACATGTCGGAGGAGTTGGATGTAAGTGATTAGTATGTTATGCTGTACTGTTGTTTGTCTTGGTTTTTACATGTCGGAGGAGTTGGATGTAGGTGATTAGTATATTATGCTGTACTGTTGTTTGTCTTGGTTTTTACATGTCGGAGGAGTTGGATGTAGGTGATTAGTATGTTATGCTGTACTGTTGTTTGTCTTTGTTTTTACATGTCGGAGGAGTTGGATGTAGGTGATTAGTATGTTATGCTGTACTGTTGTTTGTCTTGGTTTTTACATGTCGGAGGAGTTGGATGTAGGTGATTAGTATGTTATGCTGTACTGTTGTTTGTCTTGGTTTTTACATGTCGGAGGAGTTGGATGTAGGTGATTAGTATGTCATGCTGTACTGTTGTTTGCCTTGGTTTTTACATGTCTGAGGAGTTGGATGTAAGTGATTAGTATGTAATGTTGTAAGGTTGTTTGTCTAGGTTTTTACATGTCAGAGGAGTTGGAAGTAGGTGATTAGTATGTTATGCTGTACTGTTGTTTGTCTTGGTTTTTACATGTTGGAGGAGTTGGATGTAGGTGATTAGTATGTTATGCTGTACTGTTGTTGTCTTGGTTTTTACATGTTGGAGGAGTTGGATGTAGGTGATTAGTATGTAATGTTGTACTGTTGTTTGTCTTGGTTTTTTACATGTCATAGGAGTTGGATGTAGGTGATTAGTATGTTATGCTGTACTGTTGTTTGTCTTGGTTTTTACATGTCTGAGGAGTTGGATGTAGGTGATTAGTATGTTATGCTGTACTGTTGTTTGTCTTGGTTTTTACATGTCGGAGGAGTGGGATGTAGGTGATTAGTATGTTATGCTGTACTGTTGTTTGTCTTGGTTTTTACATGTCGGAGGAGTTGAATGTAGGTGATTAGTATGTTATGCTGTACTGTTGTTTGTCTTGGTTTTTACATGTCGGAGGAGTTGGATGTAGGTGATTAGTATGTTATGCTGTACTGTTGTTTGTCTTGGTTTTTACATGTCGGAGGAGTTGGATGTAGGTGATTAGTATGTAATGCTGTACTGTTGTTTGTCTTGGTTTTTACATGTCGGAGGAGTTGGATGTAGGTGATTAGTATGTTATGCTGTACTGTTGTTTGTCTTGGTTTTTACATTCAGAGGAGTTGGATGTAGGTGATTAGTATGTTATGCTGTACTATACAATAGTTTTGTGATTCCTGCTATCCATTTTATGTATATTGATTTTCAAGATATCTGGCCTTAAAAGAAATAGTTAAAAAATTTATGTGTGATCATTACCTACAAAAATATAAAAGAAATATTTCATAAGAGTCTCCAAAACCTTAAATGGAGGTCATCATGTCAAAATGTTCCATCTTTCTATTGAACAACAGATGAAGAAAGTTGTAAAATCCACACATATATCATAATGCATATCCACAAGAGACATTTAAACATGACATATTAGTACACTGTGACAAAAAACTTTTTACTCTTTTCAGAAACCTATAATTGTATATCAGTGACATTTTGTCAGTGCAATCTCCTTGTATGATACAACAATTTAAATCATGTGAGAACTGAAGCATTGGTTACTGGTACTCTCAGGGACAAGAACAACCATGGTATAGGCCCATGTAGTACCAGTAATATGAACATTTGACACCTAGTTTTTTTTTTAAATAACTACTTATGAAGAAGAAGAAATTTGAAAACAGTTACATATTGTCAAGACAAGTAATTTCAATAGTTAAATGAGTACTTTCTATGACTTAAAGGTAAATGAATGGTCTTCATGATACCTTTACAACTTCTACTTGTACTTCTTCTGATAATGTTGGTGTACAAAATACTGCATTTAATACTTGTATTGGCATCCAGTATTCTTCACTCTCAGTTTCAATACTAGAGCAAAAACGTTCATCTTCCAACATTTTCTGAAACAAAAAAGTTTTATCTTACTTTGAACAAGAAATATCTTCCATGTTATTTGTTGTTTTATGAATTCTGTGGTGATAATTTGATTAAACTAAATGCACTGTATGCATACATGTAGTTCACAAAATTACCTTACTCCCTTTTTCACAAAATCCATGTTTTCCCCAAAACACATTATGATGAATAAATAAAATAGTAGGTACAAATTGCATTTTGTTCCAAACATTTGAAAAGTTTACTGGAATCATTTTCATTAATTTCCGACCGATGGATATCCCTATCACTATAAATTAGCACTGTGCTCAATAATAGTAACTGTTTACTAAAAATGATATGTGAAGTATATCTTTTCAAAACTACAGTTTCTACTCATGAGGGGTAATAAAAAATATTATTATACCTCAAAGTATAATTGAATAAATCTATTGGCTAATAAAAGATCACTTGGTTTGAATTGATTTGGATATTTTTGTTTAAATCGACAGGGCCAGTAAATAACCTTGACAAATTGTACCGTATGGTGAATAACCCTATTATTCACTGCCATTGAATGGGGTTATTACTCACAGTATTTTAAACCAATAGAAAACTCGCAGTTCACACATATGATTTCAAACTGTGTAGTGACATTTAATGTGAATTTAAATAAAAGTTAAAAAGTGAAATTTTATATCACTTTTTGCTATTTTTTTTTTATTATTTGGTAATTACATAAATAATACTTGTTAATTTTTGTCTTTTTCCACAGACCAAATTGAATGCCAATATTTGTTCGGTATAACAGTTACGGCTCTATGAGTCAAGTCCAAGGGGAATACCCTTCAGCAGAAATTTTGAATATCCCCCATCTCAGAGGGCCATAACTATATTGTGAGGGGAGAGAAGAAGAGGGTTCTAAGAAGGAAAAAATGTATGGTTGATTTGGTATCAATTGAATGATTTAAGATAGAGCAAATGCTTGAGAATTGTTAATCTGTAAATGGAATGTCAGAAATCCTGACAATGTTTAAAATACTATAAATTCAGAAATTATTGCATATAAAAACTAGAGGCTCTCAAGAGCCTGTGTCGCTCACCTGTATTTACTGATGCTTTGGAAATCATGTAAAATAAGGTTAAAATCATAATTAATAGTATTAGATATTAGATATTATAATGATATCTAAGATAATAACAAAATCTGCAAAATTTTTGTAAAATTACTAACTCAGGGGCAGCAACCCAACAACGGGTTGTCGGATTCATCTGAAAATTTCAAGGCAGATAAATCTAAAACTGATGAACATTTTTGCCACCTGTCAGATTTGCTCTAAATGCTTTAGTTTCAGAGATATAAACCAAAAACTGCATTTTACCCCTATGTTCTATTTTTAACCAAGTCGGCCATGATGGTTGGAAGGTGGGGTCATCGGACAAATTTTTTAAACTAGATACCCTAATAATGATTATGGCCAAGTATGGTTAAATTTGTCTCAGTAGTTTCAGAGAAGAAGATTTTTGGTCATGACAACTTATTTGTAGATCTTACTTTGCTGAACATTATTGCTGTTTACAGTTTATCTCTATCTATAATAATATTCAAGATAATAACCAAAAACTGCAAAATTTCCTTAAAATTACCAATTCAGGGGCAGCAACCCAACAACAGGTTGTCAGATTTGTCTGAAAATTTCAGGGCAGATAGATCTTGACCTGATAATCAGTTTTACCCTATGTCAGATTTACTCTAAATGCTTTGGTTTCAGAGATATAAGCCAAAATCAATTTACCCTTATGTTCTATTTTTAGCCATGGCGGCCATCTTGGATGGTTGGCGGGATCATCGGACACATTTTTTAAACTAGATACCCTAATGATGATTGTGGCCAAGTTTGGTTAAATTTGGCCATGTGGTTTCAGAGGAGAAGATTTTTGTAAAAAGCTAACGACGACGGACGACGACAACGATGACGACAGACGACGGACGCCAAGTGATGAGAAAAGCTCACTTGGCCCTTCGGGCCAGGTGAGCTAATAAGAAGATGTGGTATGATTGCCAATGAGACAACTCTCCACAAGAGACCAAATGACACAGAAATTAACAATTATAGGTCACTGTACGGCCTTCAACAAATAGCAAAGCCCGTACTGCTTAGTCAGCTATGAAAGGCCCTGAAATGACAAATGTAAAACAATTCAAACTAGAAAACTAACGGCCTAATTTATGTACAAAATAATGGACAAAAAACAAATATGTTACACAGCAACAAACGACATTTATTATCGCAATTTTTGAAAAATGAACAAAAGTGTGAGATTAATTATTGCAATTTCAGGAAAATCTGCATACAGATATATGTATCAGATTTCAGAATGCAAGTTCTTATTATTGCGATCATCAGCTAGTCCCAATATTCACATTCATAAAAACCTCGAATAATTTCTGAATTTACAGTATGGGTTAGGTAGTGTTTTACCAACACAATAGGAGTTCTGATCCTCTGGGAATTTATTTTTTTACAATGCCCCTCTGAAATATTTTTACTTTAAATGTGAAATGCCTTAAAAAAGCAAGTGAATAAACATGATGAAGTCAATACATTGAAAATTTGCTGTAAGTGAAAAATTCAAAGTTATCTGTTCAAATATATATTTGATCTAATGATAAAATGTGTATCTATCTAGTTACTTCAGTTCCTTTACCCTCATTTAGTAATAACAGTATAAACTAATGAGAACTATTACATCAGGTGTTAATGTCACATACAAACCTGAATGCCATGTAAAGAATGTGTGCCTAATTTCTTAGATTTGGATTCAATTGCTAACTGGAAAGGTTCTAGACATTTTTCTCTCAGTATATGTGCCGGAGTCTTTGAAACTTCATCCTTATTGCTAAGAATATCTGAAAAATAATCACCATAAATATATCCTTATACCTTAACTTCATTTGTTTTTCTTTTGTCCTTCAAATCTACAGACTTATTTCCAATATCATACATAGCTGTCAACTGACCTGTATTCTGCGGGTTACACCAGAGAATTTCTCCCTTCACAAGGGATTTTTTAAATACCCGCCGGGTATTCAAATAACCTGGGATTTTAGAAAATGACCTGTTTTCAACCGTATTTCTGATCGGTATTGTTTCCGGTATTCAGAAGTCAAATATACTTTCAGTTTTCTCTGAGTTTTTCCTTTGAAAAGTTAAACAATTGAAATTAGAATTTGCTTATTTACCATGCCAATGACAGCTACCAAAACATTACATTTGATTGAAAAGTAACAATTCGAGGATTATTTGTTAATTGTACCAAAGAAAGTTGAAGCCAGTCAAGCTTGACATACAATTCTATGTCCTGATTAAAAGATTTGCAGTTCCAATATCCTGTAAAAATCATTTGAAAACAATTTCAACCTTTTAATACATTTCTGTTGGAGAGAATAATTTTGTTATCACTTAAATGTAAAAGCTTTAAATCAAATCCACATGCTCTAGATATTACACTGAAAGAAAACACACTAACTTCTTTCTATTTATCTTCCTCCTGTGTATAGGAGCACATTAGCTATAATTGATTTATAATTACATGTATAACTGGGGTTTATGACATTCATTAATAAAAAGAAGTCAACTAGTGTGAATAAAACAATAAAAGGGCATTGGTTTAGAAAGATATTAAATTAATGATAAATATTGATATACTGGTACTTAACAAATTCAAAAGTGATTATGTTTAGGAAACTCAGTGGTACATGTATACTAAAACTTTGTTCTCTGCAAATGATTGGTCGAAATTTAATTAGGAAGTCAAATTTTCTTAGGTTCTTCTGTATTTCCTATTGTGATGTACTGTGACGTCATGAAAAAAGGTGACCATGCCTGATGACATCACATATAAAGAACACAACTTTCTGCAAATCTTTGAAAAGAAAGGATAAACTTTGTTTACACACCATCTAAAAATCATTAGAGAAACAGATTCCACCACTATAACTCGTGTATTACGATATTTCTCCACTCTCAACAGTTAAATTCTATTATTTAAAAAGCTTGGCAAAACTGTCTAGAGTGGAAAAATATCGTAACACACTTGATGCAGTGGTGGCATCTATGTATATTATTTTCAAAATCTTAATAAAATCAATTATTAAAATAAATCAGCATGAAGTTTAAACTACTTTTTAAATTGAAATTAATAATATGTTCATCACCTTCAGGTTGAAAGGTACACTTCCAGGACCATTGTCAACAAACATTGATGGTCTTGCCTTTTAAGTTTGGAAAGCTTTTCAAATGGTTAATACTCATTATAACGAATTTGAAGAAATTCAAGAATATTATTTTAACAAGAGTGCATACGCTGAAATGTCTCGCCTTCTTTACTAATCATTGATATTATGTTGATAGTCCTAAATATAAAGCTTTCTTACAACTGTCACATAAACTTAACATTAACCAAGAAAACTAAACATTGACCAATGAACCATGAAAATGAGGTCAAGGTCAGATGAACCATGCCAGGCAGGCATGTACAGCTAACAATTCTTCCATACAACAAATATAATTGACCTATTGCTTATAGTTTAAGAAAAACAGACCAAAACACAAAAACTTAACACTGAGTAATGAACTGTGAAAATGAGGTCAAGGTCAAATAAAACCTGTGCGACTGACATAAAGATCATAAAATATTTCCATACACCAAATATATAGTTGACCTATTGCATATAGTATTAGAAAAAAAGACCAAAACTCAAAATCTTAACTTTGACCACTGAACCATGAAAATGCGGTCAAGGTCAAATGACACCTGCCAGCTAGACATGTACACCTTACAATCATTCCATACACCAAATAAAGTTGACCTATTGCTTAAAGTGTAAGAAAAACAGACCAAAACACAAAAACTTAACATAAGCAATGAACCTTGAAAATGAGGTCAAGGTCAAATAAAACATGCCAGACTGACATGTACATGATAAAATATTTCCATACACCAAATATAGTTGACCTACTGCAAACAGTATTAGAAAAACAAACCAAAACACAAAAACTTAACATTGAGCAATGAACCGTGAAATGAGGTCAAGGTCAAATAAAACTTGCCAGACTGACATGAACATCGTACAATATTTCCATACAACAAATACAGTTGACCTATTGCATACAGTATTAGAAAAACAGACCAAAACACAAAAACTTAACTATGACCACTGAACCATGAAAATGAGGTCAAGGTCAGATGACACCTGCCAGTTGGACATGTACACCTTACTATCATTACATACACCAAATATAGTAGACCTATTGCTTATAGTATCTCAGATATGGACTTGACCACGAAAACTTAACCTTGTTCACTGATCCATGAAATGAGGTCGAGGTCAAGTGAAAACTATCTGACGGGCATGAGGACCTTGCAAGGTACGTACATGTACATACCAAATATAGTTATCCTATTACTTATAATAAGAGAGAATTCAACATTCCAAAAAATCTGAACTTTTTTTAAAGTAGTCAATGAACCATGAAAATGAGGTCAAGGACATTGGACATGTGACTGACGGAAACTTCGTAACATGAGGCATCTATATACAAAGTATGAAGCATCCAGGTCTTCCACCTTCTAAAATATAAAGCTTTTAAGAAGTTAGCTAACGCCGCCGCCGGATCACTATCCCTATGTCGAGCTTTCTGCGACAAAAGTCGCAGGCTCGACAAAAATAATGATGTTGCATTGACATTCACCCTACAAATGCATCTTCTATATTCAATGGAACAGCTATTTGTCCACATTAATTTTATTTACAAAGCACTTAAAGAGACGGAGGACTTAAATGAACCATTTTAGATTTACCTAATGCTGTTTTGCATGCTTGCTTGATGTTTGTATGCTTCGTTGATGACACATCTGACAAAAGCTGTTTTAAAATGTCTTCCATAAGTAATGTTGCAATCTGAAATAAATTTGTAAACTGCTGTATTAAATAAGGAGATGTGGTATGATAGCCTTTGAGACAACAATCCAACAGAGTACAAATGACTGTAACATTTATATGTCGGCCTTATTGTCAAAAGTTGCAAACAAGCTCCTGTCATTGTACACTTCTAAATAAGTCACCTTAGAAAGTACAATATTAAACACAAGACTTCTGAACACTAAAATATCATTAAAACAATATATTTAAACACACATTTATAATTGAAAAATTTGTTTTAAGCAACGAAACTGTACCAAACTCTAACAATACTATTACCTGCAGAGATCTGGAAGTTCGATGTTCAGTTGTTACATGTAATATAAAACCACTTTTACCATTAATAATTGACTTAAAAAGATTTCTATTTAATCAAAAAACATTATGAACAATATTTTATTGTTATTAACACAAATAATCTGTTAACTCACTTTTTTGCTATTTTGATAGTAAAATACAAATGTTGAAATCAAAATAGCAATAATTTAACATGTAAGTTATGCAAAATATTCAAAGTCAATGAACCATGACTGAAGGTACAGGGCAAAACAATCTAAATGGAAATGAAATGCCAATACTTATATTACTGCATACCAAATATCATTGACCTACCCCAAAACTGACCTAATCACAAACTATTACATGTAAACTAAACAAAAGTTTCTAGGTCAATTGACTATGACTGAGGTGGTGGGGCCAAATTATCTCCATAGAAACGAGATGTGCCAATGCTAATACAACTGCATACCAAATATCGTTGGCCTATCCCTAGTGGTTCCCAATAAACTGACCTAATGACAAACTAATTCATGTAAACTAAGCAAAAGTTTCAAAGTCAATAGACCATGACTGAGGTGGCAGGGCCAAATAATCCCCATAGAAATGAGATATGCCAATGCTTAATCAACTGCATACCAAATATCATTGGCCTACCACTAGTGGTTCCCAATAAACTGACCTAATGACAAACTAATACATGTAAACTAAGCAAAAGTTTCAAAGTCAATAGACCATGATTGAGGGGCAGGGCCAAATAATCTCAATGGAAATGAGATGTGTCAATGCTCATACAACTGCATACCAAATATTATTGGCCTACTGCTAGTGGGTCCCCATAAACTGACCTAATGACAAACTAATACATGTACATGTAAACTAAGCACAAGTTTCAAAGTCAATAGACCATGACTGAGGGGGCTGGGCCAAATTATCCCCATGGAAATGAGATGTGCCAATGCTAGTACAACTGCATACCAAATATCATTGGCCTACCACTAGTGGTTCTCCATAAATTGACCTAATCACAAATTAATATATTCTTGACAACGTGGTCGCTGCCGCCCACAACAGCATACCTATGTCTCGCTTTTTGACCCAGTCAAAGTGAGACAATAAACCAATTTCAGGCCACCAGCCTCAAATTTCTATTTTGTACCCATTATCGTAATCTATTCTTACCCTATGGGCCAACTGTGTTAAGGCCAAAAAAAAATAATACACGTGTTTCTGCTAACCCTACCTACCCTAATTTTTAGTGCCTAGTAACACTGCCTACCCTAACACTTTTTATGCTATTTTGGAACAAGTACTGTTAAAGTCAGACTGATTCCCTAGTAGTAACCAGCTAAAAAATGTTTGTAAAATAAAATGATATTGCCTACCTACCTACCCTATTTTTTTCAGCATGTTAGCGGAAACACATATATTATTTTTTTTTGCCTAATAACAAAAGAAGAACAAAGTTCCAATGTCCCCCGCGTATTTTATCTGTCCAAGGTACAAGGGCAATAACTAAAAAAAGCACTTTTTTTTTGTTCTTTAAAACTTGAGAGAAATGAAGGCTTCAGAGCAAATGCAATGTGATTTCCATTATAATTTATATTTCCAAGGGCATAACTCGTTAAAAATATTTGATCAGAACTTATTTTCGAAAGTGTCAAAGACATTGCTGATGTAAACCTATGATATAAGTTTCATAAAATTCTGGCAAGAATACTCTGAACACATGAGAGCGATAACATTGCAATTTTCCATAAAATCAGTATTTTCAAGGGGCATAACTCTTTTAAAAATAATTGATGATATAAAGCTATAATGTAAGTTTCATAAAAATCTGGCAAGAATTGTAAACATAAGAGCGCTCATAAGGCAATTTTCCATATAATTAATATTCCATAACTCGTTGAAAATTATTGATCGGCACTGATTTTCAAATTCAACCAAGACATTGCTAATATATTAAATAAATTAAGTTTCATACATTTTTGGCAAGAATTGTACATATGAGAGTGCTAATAATGCAATTCTCCAAATAAATTATATTTCCAAGGGGCCTAACTCTTTTAAAAATAATTAATCGGCTCTGAATTTCGAACTCATCTAAGATATTGCTAATATAAACCTATGATATAAGTTTCATAAAAATCTGGCAAGAATTGAACACATGAGAGCGCTTACGATGCAATTTTCCATAAAATTAATGTTTCTAAGGGCATAACTCTTTTAAAAATAATTGATCAGCACTGATTTTCGATCTTGTCCAAGACATTGCTGATATAAACCTATGATATATGTTTCATAAAAATCTCGCAAGAATTGTACAAGTGAGAGCACCGACAAGACCGGACAGACGGATGGACAGACAGACTGAAGGACGGACGCCCGGTATTTCCTTATCCAATAAAATAAATTTTTTGTTCATAATGTGTTTTTTTGATTAAATACAAACCATTTCGTACCTTATGGAATAAATATATGTTTACAATTTTGTATCCTATATTCGTAAATCGTTGAAATTTTGTACCAACATCAGTATTGGATATTTTGTTAACACAGATTTATAATTAAAACTAGATCTGTCGGAATGATATCTCTGCTATTCAATTCTTACCTGCTTCAGGTGTACGGAATGGTGATGTAAGCATAATAGGCATGGCTAAAAAAGAGGGAGTTGGTAATAAATTCCCGAAAAAACTTAAAAGGGCTTGAGTTGATAAGGGATTCTGAGGGGGCCAAATCAGAAAATCGCTCTGGACTCAGAATCCCAAAAGGGATTAGCATACATGTATATATAAATCTTCCATAAGGTATGAAATGTCATACATATAAATTGTCCATAAGGTACGAAATGGAATGCATTCTTACAATACCATTTAAACGAATCTATTCGAGATCATTTTTTTTCCGATTACCATGTTTTTCGGAGTCACACCGCGTACCGCGGATTATACTCCCAATTTCCTCCAAAGATTCTCTCCCAACACCGTGTGGCTGTTTATTGGTTTATTGCCCATCGGATGTCCTAAAAATTAATGACGCGTGACAACATAATCAGATTAGCCAGATTATTTACCTATGTACATTTAATCGATCTTGATTGCACCTGTGTGCTTTAAAACACGGTATTAAATTTTAACAAATGTTTTCCTTTCTTTGACAGATAAAGATGTGACATTATCATTCAGCATAAGATAATTATTCTTATATGTTTTTGCCTTATGTCATTGTCATTTGAAATAAAACGTACAATCGAATAAAAATACGAAGAAAAAACTTATTTTGTATTTCTATTATAGTCTGGTCAGTTCTTTCAACAAAGACGATTTTACCACAATTAGAATATTTTATGACTTACTCAGTAAGCAATTTCAGGCGCATATTTATTTTGCAATGTAAAATATTATGTTTCACTACCTCGGTACATGACCGACTTGAATTATTTGAATTCCGAAAAGACACATCTATGGTTGAACAAAGGGAATAAGTTTTGTATGCATGCCCTTTATTCATGAAAAAAAAACACTGAGAGAAATTCCCCGCCCAGACACAACACAACATTCACAACTTAATTAATTATATGGAAACAAAAATCATCGTTTATCTCTGTTATTGATCTTTGATTATTTAAAAAAAAAAATTGGATGAGCGCAATACGTGTTTTACTGCTCGTTAAAAGTCCTTGGCGAAATGAAATAAAATGAACTATTTCAACAATTACTATAGAAAAAAATCAAATATATATAACTAAAATATTATAATGAAATTATATCGTGTACCCAGATGCTACAAGAAAATATAAGTGGACAGGATTTTAACGATCTACATATTTTCACAGAGGATCTCTACCAACGCCCAACTTAACGACATACATCATGTTTTCATCTACAATAAATTTATATTGTTGACCATGGACGTATAACTAATGTTCAGGTAGGTTTTGACTGATAAAAAACATAAAAAATAAAATAGTTAAAGAACTTAAGAAGACGTGTGTTCGTTTATTCAGAAAAGGATTATATTTTAGATTCCGGTTAATCAATTGTAAAAGGATCTTCTAGAGCCTCAATACTAACGTACAAAAATGTCAATCATTAATACAAAGCAACTTTAAAAACCTGAATGAATTTTCCCACGGTCGTTCAGAGAGGTCACCTGAGTTTACTGGTACGTGATATTATTTCCCACCATATAAAGATCTCGTGCTGTGGATAAAATTGATGTCAGCTATTTTCAGCATTTAATATTGTGAGCGAAGTCACACTGAGATGTGTATCGTGGAATTGTCTTCCCACGGCAAATTAATTTCTTTTAAGATCAAGTGCTGTCCAAAATACAACACACAAGTTTACATTCATTGTGCGGAAATAAATATTACTGTATGCAAAGAGGAGTCATTGTGCAGCTGTGGAAGTATTCCTGTTGTAGCCGAAATGTATTATTATCCTAAAGCAATGCCAACAAATCGTAAAAAGAAAATGCCGTAGACTTATTAAGCATAACGAATGTTGAATAATATTTTCTTTTTTACTTGTACATGTTGTATATACAAAACTTTGAGACACGTAATTTTCTTTAACTGCTCACATTTAATCAGCGGTAGTTTCCGTTTATTTTTACACAAGTATGTCCCTTTTCGTAAATGTTTTTTATAAAACTTTAATGCAATTGAAAGAACTAACAACAACATTTTGCTTTTAAATCTTTTATTTGTTTCAAGTAATTAGATAATCGTAAAAAGAAAATGCCGTAGACTTATTAAGCATAAGGAATGGTGAATAATATTTTCTTTTTTACTTGTATACAAAACTTTGAGACACGTTATTTTCTTTAAACTGCTCACATTTATTCAGCTTTGAAGTACAATTTCACGATTTTTTTCCACATTTTCCACAAAAGTTTATAAACCTTTATCGGTAATGTCCGTTTTTTTTTAAACAAGCAAGTCCATTTAGGTAATGATATTTTTAGATTAGCAAGCAAGAAATACGAAAATATTTTAACTTATTTTTAACACAAAAATTAAACTTAACCAATATAAAAAGACATTTAAAATTATACAATTGTTTGACACTTACATGTAAACTGGTACAGTAGACCGGAAATATAATTGTTTATGACATCAGGTAATCCAATTACCCTATCAGTCGTGTGCCGGCATAGATTAAAGTAGGATTAGGGCAATTAATTCCTCTGTGTTTGGAGTGAGCTCACCATCACAATTAACATTTACGCGATTTTGGGAGATATACTCCTAAATTCCTCCCAACATTTTGGGAGGAATATCGGAGTTTCTCGGAGTGACTCCGAAATTTTCCTTGGTGTAGGGTGTGGGAGAGCTGATCCGTTTGAATGGTACTGTATATTCCATAAGGTTAAAAAGTCAAGGTACGAAATGGATTTAGACAGGGTACAAAATAGTAAGGGTACGAAATGACTGGTTAAAAGTGTAAAAATCCCATTGGAGTCTGTTATAATAACAGACTCCAATACACCTTATCGCTAATCTCGCTTGACCCGAGAATCAGTCCCGCTCCAACTTTTGACGTCATACAACAATCACTTTTCCATTGTGGCGTCAGATGTTTTCTATTATGACGTCAAAATTTTACGGGAACTTGTGTGATGTCCAGTAATGGCGGACAAATAGCGATAAGGTGTATGAGGGTCGTAATGGGGGTACTTTCATTACGAATAACAGTAAAAAATCCGGCCATGATGTTAATGGTAATTTTTGGTGCATGACGATAAAATGAACACTGGTAAAATAATCGACTGATTTTGACGAATCATGTTGAATTCTTTCCAAAAATAACGATAACGGTTAATTATTTGAGACCTCTGACAAATCACGATAAGGATATTTTGACAAATCTCGATAAGGATATTTTGACAAATCACGGTAAAATTTTAACCAATTTGACGCTAACGGAAGCCGAAAATGACCGTTTGACGCCTGACGGTAAAGGGCATTCCTACCCTCTCCAAATGGCAAATTGCCTTTAATTGGCAATGGGTTATTTACTGGCATATTGCGGTTTTCTCAGCTAGTTACACTTACTTAATCGTCGTGTTAATAAACAATTATAATCTTTACTATGGACGGAGTACTCATGTTATATTATAAGCTTCATTCAGATAGTTCCTTTCTTTTTTTTAGACGATATTTAGCTTAAGTCTAAAATCTTTGCCAAATCATAATAATGCCGCTTACGTATGTATTAATACGATATTCACAACAACATTATTTCTCGAGTATATGCTTTGAAAATATTCTGGGAATAAATTTCTGTATTATTTTAGGTTTTCGTTCACCTATGTTTGCAATTTTATCCTCCTTCCTTTTTTTAATTTTTACATACATCATTAGAAAAAAATAACACGGGGGAAATCTGTTCCCGCTTTGGAGAGTCGTGAATGTTTTGTATGTTTCTTCTTTTACAAGGAGCACCACCATATCAGATCAGAGGGAAATTGAAATAAAGAGCAGTTACATGTTTCACGCTGTATGAACACAGCTTAATCACAAAGACCCGGTTAGCGATTAGCGATACATATAAGTTTAATTCTTGCATATGCCCTTTTATATCTTTTTAGCTATATGGTATAATTTCACAGGCACTTCACGGTATCTGAAAATATACCTATTACTTTAACATAACTATATTGAAGTATATGGGTAATTCTTTTTCAGTGACAAGTGCCTGTGATGGTATTACCAACTCGGAGTCTTATTCTTTTTATCATTTTTTAATTTACCTTTCGGGTATCTTTGTAAGTTCGTCATAGTCCTGAGGCTGATGGGAGAAAGCCGAAAGGTCCTACGACAAAGGATATTGACAAAAAAGCAATAACCTATGATCCATTTGGGAAACGACGTTAAAAACTTATGACACCATGATCAAAACGATTTGCACATGTCTGACAGTTTCCAACATATGAAACTACTATAATAATTAGCCTTTAGTGGTAAGCACAGCATTGTCTAAGGGGATGACCATTTGATATTCTGGGGGGGGGGGGGGGGGGGGGGGGCAGGAGGATTTTGAAAATAAATAACTGAGCCTTGATAATCACAAAAATAAATGGTTTGTTCTGTGGTAGTTCGAAAATAAATAATCTGACTTACAATGTATTGAAAATGAATAACTCGGCAGGTCTTTAAGCCATTTTATCAATGCTATTCGAAAGTATGAGGTGGCACCAGATTCTTCATAAAATTCATCTTTATTTCAAAAAAAAAAAATCGGGAAACACTTCCCAAATCTTTTAATAATAAAGGTATAAATATTATTTAGATATACTTGAAATGTCTGAAAATGGGTTTCATTTAACTTGAGTAAATTGGCCCAGGAACACTTACCTCACTTTTATTACAGGGCTGTAACTACATTGAGGCAAATGCCTTTATGTAGGAAATTTTAAAACCAAAAGCTTGTCTTCATATCAAATTGTTTTCACAGCGAGTGTTTGCAAGAAGCAAGTTCTCCCCACCTGTTTTTTCGGGATCAATGTTTCTTTAAATTTGTCTTTTGTTCATTGATTGCCCTTCTGTATTCTCTTAGTGTTGCATTCCTTTTGTGATTTAGTAATTTTGTTTTCAACTTGATCATGAGTTTTATTTTATTTAAGACTTTTTAGCTAATTTTACAACTTATTACTACTTTAAATTGTATCCCAGTTAAGAGCTACATCAAGTTGTAATTGAAATGTGTTATTAAAAATTACTTGACATAGTTATATCACTGATAATCAGCCCCCTCTTAACTTAATTTGAATAAAACCCCATATAAATGCATGCTGAAACAACAACAAAAAAAAAAAAAAAAAAAAAACAGCAGCCACATACTTAACTATGTGAATTACATTTTTACTTTATTCTTCATATTGGTCTTTTGATGTTGTAAAAACTTAAGTCTTATGCTGAATCTATACATTTTGCTTTGAGACCAAAATATTGTCAAAAATTTATTAAAACAGAACTTGCATTTTTAGAATAAGAAAGGGTCTGGGAACGCCCAGAAAGCACGATTTTGCATCATTTGTTCTATAGTTTCTTTGGGCCTTCAGCGGCTTCAAAACCCTTCAAAATTTTTTTGCCTCACTCCGCTCGGCATAAATATATTTGGCAATACTTTTAATAGAGGCTAGTCACAGCCCAACTCTAATACCATGTATGTATGCAATACATGTATATGCAGTTGGGAATATTCAGAAGATTCATTTCCACAGAGGATGATGATTAATTCTGATTAAATGGTACATTAATGACTTGACTGTACATGTATTATTTATAATAAAAAATGAATTTAAAAATTGTATGTTTTCAAATATTATTAATATAGTTATGAAAATAAATAATCAGTCCCTTGTTTTAATGAAAATGAAAAATCTTGCTTCAACAGTGCAGAAAATAAATAATCTGTCCTCTTAGTTTACAAAAATGAATAACCGATTCAAAACAAATCCTCCTGGCCCCCCCCCAGAATATCAAATGGTCGTCCCCTAAAACAAACTGAACCTACAAATATCTTTAGAAGCATTCATTATTAAAAGAATAAAATCTTAAAACATAAGATATACGGTGTAGTTATATAAGGATAGAATAATTCATCCATAAAACCAACTTCACAAAATTATTTCTGGAATGTTGAAGTATTTAGGGACGACATCAAAAGATCAATGTAGGATAAAAAAACTTAAATCAAATAGTTTGGGGGTGGGGGGTGGGTTAAAATTGCTGCAAATTTTGTTTATCCAAAATCGATTTTACATATATCCATATTGGTCAATCAATTTTTCTCAAATTAAGTTAAGAGGGGGGTGGGGGGACAGCGAAAAAACTATGTGATTTAAGTTTTTTATCCTACATTGAACTTTTGATGTTGTCCCTTATTTGCAAAAAGTTGTATTTTCGATCTCATCGAAACATCTTGATTGATTGTGCAATTAAAAAAATTCTCAAGACATTAATTTTTTCCCCGTGAATTTTCAAAGTTTTAGTTTAACGAAACGCTGAGCAGTTTTGAAAGTTGCTGAAGTCGATTTTAAAGAAAAAGACTCCCTGTTTACCAACATTTAACCAACATATGATGTGTGTATGGAACGCTTGAAATAAACATTGACAAAATAATTGAAATAATCAAAGACAACGTGTATATATGCATATATTATTTCATATACATGTATGACATGTAAATACCGATAAACAAATCCAAAGAAAGCAATAGTTAACAAATACTATCTTTAGAAAGAGATAACCGATGCCTTCAGATTGGAGCATATTTTTAAAAACTTAAATAAATGTTGAAGGCAGTTCACTGAAAACATGCAAGTTTGGAAATGATTTCGCCGATTTTGGTGATAATGACCATTTCCATACCTTCATTGTATTTTTCTGAATGTTTTAATCTTAATAATTTGATATTTTTTCCTTCCAATATATTTTGTTTACTATTTTGGCAACCCTACAAAATACAGCATGGATGGATACAATTTTGTTTTGCTCCCCGTAGAAATTCGTGTCATTTTGAAACACGCCAGTTACTAATAGTACAAGTTCAACAAAGTATTGCTTGAGATTCGACAATAAAAAGAAAACTAAAGAAAACCAAAATATAACCACCATTTTAACACGCAATAAACGTGCAAAAATAATAAGATGTGGTATGATTGCCAATGAAACAACTATCAAACCGAAGTTTAAATGAAGTGGATGTAAGCAATTATAGGCAATCGCACGGCCTTCAACACTAATAAAAACCCATACTTTATAGTCGGCTATAAAGCCGGCATAAAAAATATGAAGCAAATAATGAGAAACTATTGGCCTAATTTATAATAAAACAATCTACGAAAAACAAATACGACAGACATGAACCAACGACAACCACTGAACTACTGTAACAGGCTCCTGACTTGGGACAGGCACATGAAGAATGTGGCGGGTTTAAACTAAAACATGTTTGTTAACGCCCAACCCTCCACTTACCTGGGACAGTGGTGTTTACAGCACAACATAAGAACAAACAATAAAAATTAGTTAAAAAGGGCTTAACTCATCAGATCGATATTGATTGCATGATAAAGGATTGATAAGTTTACCCGGATTGTATCTAAATTTCCGGGCTCTGTAAATATTATCACCGTAAAATTTAGGATGTGCTATTCTGTTATAAATTAATAAGTTTTCTACAGATACAGCCACACTTGCAAACCAAAATTTGTATCTACAGAAGAATTAAGTAAACATTTTAAGTAATTTGTGGTAACGAAATTCCATACTTAATAATTTACCAGTAATACATAGATAACGCTCATTGAAAACCAATACGTCACTACAGACACGGGCATATGGAACGAACAGGGATATATAAACACCGTAAGACGGTGCCAAAGGAACATCACCGTCCAAAAAAAAGGAAATTAACAATAGGGAAAGAAAAATCATTCCTTTTGTCGTAAATAATTGTGTAGAGTTTCTGGTCAAGTAAAAGTGAAATATCTAAATCTAGGAAAGGACAACTATTATGGTTTAAAATGTCTGATTTCTTTAAAGTAAGTTCCTTGGGTAAATTTCGGCAGTATGATTAGAGAATTCTTGATTATTTAACGATAAATATCATCAAGATAACGGTAAGTGTTGTTGAATTTATCAATTAAATGGAATTAAGACGGGTTTTTACTGTGTTTGGCCATAAACTGTCATAACAGTACAGGAACAAGTCTGCTATTAATTGGTGCCCATAGGAATACCTACAACCTATCGATACACTTTATTGCCGAAACGTACATTAATGTTATCAAGGAGAAAATTTACGGCTTTTTCATCTCATCATACCTTCAGTAAGTATATTTAGCATATTTACCTTTCTCATTTGAGAAAAAGGCTTTATATGAGTTGCAGCAAATAAATTTGCAATCAGAATTATCAAACGACCATTTAATTAAATAGGAAAACTTTTTTTTGATAAGATTGTGTGGAAGTGTAGTATAAAGAGTGGAAAAGTCAAAACTCTCAACCGAATTAAAAAGATCAGCAAAATTATCTAAAACATCAAAAAAAATTTAGTGAATTCCACGATTTTCATATGTTTTATTACTAAGCTTCACGATAAGTTCTGTCTATGTATGCTTTCATAAGTTAAGTTAAACAAATCAAAAGAAAGCAGTAGTAAAAATGTAACTACCAGTGATTTAAA